AATACATATAATCACATTTAGATCATTTACTTTAATCATTACTATTGGACTGTGAAGAGACTTTCAGCCAGCACTAGAGCTGTGCAATTAATCGAAAAATCGATTTTGGCTTCTAACGATTATGAAAAACCATTAATCGGGATAAACGATTACTGCATCATATACCGCCCCCTTTCCAGTTTATCTTTGATTTCTGTCGCTAGTCATGGTTGACGACTGCTGCTAAATATTTCATTCAGCCTGGTTTGTTTGAAAACAGCACGATGCACTCAGATGAGTGTGTGGCCATCTGCTGCCCCCTGAAACATCCCCCTTGACTTATTCATTTAGAGATTTTCTCCACATTCCCGCAGTCTGAGTTCAAAGAAAACACAGGTGCACCCGCTAACATCTGTGGAGTCTGAAAACACCACAAAACACGTCATGGTCTGCAGGGAATGACCACTACGGAGGTTTGCCTGGATGACGTGTGATGTAACTTTTCAGCACCTGCTGTCTAAACACATTCATTTACTATAGGCTACAGTACACAGTTGGAGTCAGAAGTATTAGACCCCCCCTATATATTTGCCCTCAATTTCTGAAGATTATATTTCTAAATATAATAAATTTATTAACTCATTTGTAATAACTGATTTTATTTATCCTTGCCATGATGACAGTAAATAATATTTGATTAGATATTTTTTAAGACACTAGTATTCAGCTTATAGTGACATTTAAAGGCTCAACTAGGTTAATTAGGTGAATACTTGAAAAAAATATTATAGGAAATACAGTAAAAAATCCCTTGTTCTGTAAAACAACACTTGGGAAATATTAGAAAAAAAACAAACAGGAGGGCTAATCAACTTCAACTGTATACACACTATGAAATGTCACTGACAAAAATAGGGTTTGACCAATTTGGCATCGTACGATGTCTAATGTCAAACAACGCGATGGACGATGGCATCGCAATAGTAGGTGACGGTGAATTTATTATTTATGAATAATTCATTAATTCAAAACAAATTAATTATTTGTAGACTACCATTTCAACTACATGACGCGCATGGTTTTTGTTTTACCCATAACCAAATCATAAATAAATAAATATAAGTAACACACAAATTGCCACCTGTCAGTCACTTTTTCTGCAGTTCTTTGGCATGAATAGGCAGAGTGATCGGTGTCGCTATAATAGCCCCTTTCACACATACAGACCTTTCCAGGAAAATTACCGGCAATTTTCCGGAAAGGATGTATGTGTGAACAGGCTCTTTTTGAAAATACCGGTAAATTCGTTCTGGCAATTTTTCGGAAAGAGAAGTTGTAACATTACCGGTAATTTGCCAGAATGCTGCGCTGTGTGAATGCAGAAGGAAGATTGCCGGAAAGAGCGCGTGCACGAACGTGCTGACGTGAGACGTCTACTTCAGCCAATCAGAACAGTCAGACGCATTCATGTCCGCGCGGTTTATGAGAATTAAAGCCTTTGAATATTTTTCAAGACACCTTTAGCTGCTAGTTGTTAGTTAGATAACATTTATATGTTTTTTCTTAATGCGAACGGTGTTAATAATTATGGATAATATGCTTATGATAAGCCGTTGTTTGTTTACCTTCAAGCTCTGCGTCGCGTGTGCCCATGAAGCAGCTGGTGAGCCAGCACACACACACACACACACATCATGAACATCTCAACATGCGAAAGTGTTTCTCTATATGTTTTCATCGAAGTTGTTCACAACACTGATCCATGCACAGAGTTTGTAATGTAGTAAATTGTTTACTAATGCAAGCGCAGCCGTCTAGAGCTCATTTCTGGTTAATGATGTCAGAATTTACCGGTATTTTGGAATGGATGTGTGAATGCTCTTTTCCGGAAAAATTCCATAACGTACTCGCCTGTGTGAACAGCACTTTTTTAAATCTACCGGTAAAGTCGTTCCGTAAATTTTCCGGATATTTACCAATATCACTGTGTAAAAGGGGCTAATGGCGTTGACAAACTTGGTTAGTAAAAAAGGTGTACAACCAACAGCAACCAACCAGCAGAGGTTTTCGCATACAGTACTAAGTACAAGCGTGAAAGCGAAAGATTGAAGCAGTGTACTGATGCTGTGACACATTACCTGATAGATTCAAAAGACAGAAGAGTCGTTAAATACAGACAAGATTAATTAAATATCACATTTATTAGCTATAATGAGACGTAATCCATCAGTAAATTCTTGATAAACTGTCTGACGTGCACTGCTCTCTGGGCTGACTGCTGGAGCTCAGATGCTGCAGCGCATGACAGAGTTTGTGTGTGTGTGTGTGTGGTCACGTGATATACGTTTTCAGCGTCATAGTATAGACGGAGAGATCTTTTCAGAAATATTAGATAAAACGCCAGTGTGAACGTGGATCGTTTTCCTTTTAAAATGACATTTTAAAACTAAGACGTATTCGTGTAAACAGGACCTAAGTGTGTTTTTTTAGCGAGCAGGTTGCCGCTGCCAAGGGGGCAAGGTGGAGGATTGCGATGCCTGCTGAGCATCGTGATGTCTATCAGTCATCGGCGATGGATGATAGCATGGTCTGTCGACCCAACCCTATTTATCACTCAGTCTCCTGTCCATCAATCAGCTGGCATGCGGTCTGCAGTCATGTCATCTAGGTGGATTCTGCACACTGGTGGTAAATGAGGAGATTCCCAAAAAAATGTGTAAAAGCACTTAAAGTCCAGGGCTCGAAATTGCGACCATTTTGGTCACATATGCGCCCGAAATTTTACCTATGCGACCTCAAAATATATTTGGGAGCACTTTGTTGTGTGCGACCAGTCTTTACTGCAAAATGTTCAACACGTGCGGATTTGGGAGACATTCACGCAGAAAGCATCTCTGCACTTGAAACGCGAAATGCATCACTCAGGAATGTTTTAAAACAGTTGTCATGTCAACTTGCTGCAGTAAACAAAGCTAAGTCCGTAATGCTTGCCCCGCCTTCGCGCTCTTCTTATTGGCCCACCACTGCTCTAGCACTGAAATATCAGCTGTCAATCACTCAGTCAATGCCTTCTGGCTTGGGATGACAGAGAGCTACTACCGTGAACAATTGTAAAGCGCTGAAGATGAGAATGAAGATAACGAAAGTTACAAATAATGACACATCTTATTAGTGATTATGTGCTGAATGTTTATCCACCATCTACACTTTTCGAAGAGTGGATAAAAGACTTCCGTTGGCTTTAAGTCCGCTACGAAAAGTCTGTGGGATGGAATTTTCAGGTAACTGCGTGCCAAATCTAGCACGAGAGCTTCAGTTTAATCCTTTATATAATCGCCAGATGCTGTCCGCCGTGCAAGTGGCAGCTATATGTCAAATTTAACACCACGTACACCATCGCAAACGAGCTTACACTGACTAAACTAATATTGCTACTCATGAAAAGTATTGCTATTAACATGACGTATGCATATAATAAGGTACAGTATATGTCAAAAACATTAGTGCAATATCAGACAGCACCCGTGAGAACAGCACAGTTATACCGTTAACAGATTCATTCATGTCAAGCAGTGTGTGCAGGGCCAGTGAGCGCACCGTGTATCTTTTGGTCACTCAGTTATGTTATAAAAATCTATTTTCTTGTGATAACGGGATTTTGTTGAGATATATTTTCCTCACTCTTGTATATATATATATATATATATATATATATATATATATATATATATATATATATATATATATATATTTTTTTTTTTTTTTTTTTTTTTTTTTTTTTTTACTTTTTTTTGTGTTGATTTCAAATGCAATAAATATGTTTGCATAAAACTTGTAGTAACAGCGCTTATAAGTGCGACTAAATTTTGGCTGATGCGCCTAAATGTTTAAAGTTAGGAGCACCGGTTCTACCAAGCAAAAAGGTTAATTTCGAGCCCTGTAGAGTCCAGAAAATCACACTATAAATGTAAGGAATTATAATTATTATTACTGCTGAAAAATCCAGCTTAAACCAGCCTAGGCTGGTTGGCTGGTTTTAGCTGGTCAACCAGGCTGGTTTTAGAGGGGTTTTGGCCATTTCCAGGCTGGCTTCCAGCCATTTCCAGCCTGGTCTTAGCTGGTCAGGCTGGAAAATGACCAGCTAAATCCAGCTAAAACCAGCTTGACAGCCTGGTTTAAGCTGGACATAGCTGGTTTTGGCTGGGCTCCCAGCCTGGCTAGGCTGGTCAAGCTGGTTTTAGCTGGTCATCTCCCAGCCTGACCAGCTAAGACCAGGCTGGAAATGGCTGGAAACCAGCCTGGAAATGGCCAAAACCCCTCTAAAACCAGCCTGGTTGACCAGCTAAAACCAACCAACCAGCCTAGGCTGGTTTAAGCTTGATCTGACTATATACACACCTTGTAAAATGATGCAAAAAGTAATACTTTTTGACAGAAATGACCACTGACTAAATCTGCTACAGGACTAACTCTGCCACTTGCCTAGGAATATCCACCAAACCAATTACACTAAACAATAAGCTAATTATGTTCATTAAACTTCGCGAGTGTCCATGATATATCAAACCTGCAACCTCTGTTGAGCACACCATATCTCAAAACATCTAGTCAGGTCTGATATGGATGATGAATGTCATCATGATGACGACTGTCAAAACTGTCAGTTCCTCTATTGATATGAAACGTCAGTACTGTTTGTTTACCTGTAAAAACCAACTGACAATGTAGTCTTTTTAAGCAAACACAGACTGGTAACTCTATTAGTAACAAAAATGACGAGTTAATCTAAAATATAAAGTTGCATAATGTTAAAAAAGAGCCATGGGAAAAATGTATAAAACTGAAGGCATGTCAAATCTGACTTTCTGTTTTCAGTGTATGTGGCTTTGCTACTGCACTTTGGAGCACGCCAACAGGAAAGCCAGTCTTAATGAAAGTACACCGCAATAATACATCCAGTTTTACATCACATTGTTACACAACACAGTCTCACGTTTCACTGAAGTTGTGCGTTTATTTACCTTTTCGCGTCTCGCTCCTTGTTTCTCCATCCTGTCCTACTTTACTATTCAACCGTTTCAAACTTCCATCCCATGATACTTCACACGCTCCGAATCCATGAGAAATAGCCTCGTTTCCCCGACTAAACCGTCCTCAGAGTCAGTTTGTGTTGATGCATAAGTTGGTTGATGCACAGGGCTTGCAGAATCGCTCAGCTGCTCCCCTGAAAACAGTTATTCCAGAGGAAAGTTCGCCATGTTTTTCTTCTCTCTCCTCCCGGTATAGGCGGTTCAGATGGTTTCAGTAGTTCAGGGCTTCAGTTACTATTTATGACATCAGACGGGAGTTAAGTTACCTACAGTGACTAGTTACTAGAAGTGGACCATATAGGTACTTCACAGACAAGCATCTTTTATAACTTTTATTAAGCGAATTATTGTGCAACTAAATAGTTACAAACTTTAAAAAAAAGGTCGAACATTACATGAAATGAAAAATAACTGAAATGCTATTATTATTATTATTATTATTATTATTATTATTATTATTATTAATGTTATTATTATTATTATTATTACATTGACTGATTTGCAGTTGATATTGGCTACACGTGAATACATGCAGTAAGAATGTTGTAAATGTATGTAAATGTGTAAATAACCTGTAGATCTGTTTAAATAAAAACTAAACGTCTTATTTTGGTCTGTTTTTTTAATGTATTTTATTTTAACTATGGTAATGTGCCTAAAAAGTCTGCAAAGTTGTACCTTTGTTGTTTATGTGTATGTAGACAATATCAACTGCATATCATGAAAGGCATTTGTTAATATGTGTATTTTTACCATTTCCCCCACTTTAAATATAAAATTGAAGCACTTGAGATTTAATTCATGCTAAAATTTAGCCCAGAGAAAGTACAAACTTAGAGAGACAGGACAATAAACTTATATACATACCTTAACATTTCGCGCCCCTTTTATATCTTTTTAACCAAATCTTCCCGCTGATTCTCTATGTAGAGCGGGATGTAATTGCGCATGCGCAGGAGAAAACTAAAAGTGATGTTTAAGGCAATTTTCTTCTGCGCATGCGCAATTACATCCCGCTCTACATCGAGAACAGAAGCGGGAAAAATTTACCTCAGATGAAAAATATAAAAGGTACATTAAATATTGAGGTATGAAAATAATTTTGTGATGTCCAATGTTGCTCTCTAAAGTTTGTACTTGCTCTAGGCTAGCATGAATTAATTCTCAAGCACGTCAATTGGATCTTGAGAGTGTGGAAATGGTAAAATGCACTGTACTTTAACAAACTTTGATGACTTTCATGACTTGCAGTTGATATTGGCTACATAGCCTACATATACATGTACAAAAGACAATACAGTATACAAACTTTGTGAACCTTTTGGATGTTTGGTTTTTATGTAAACAGATTTAGACTACATGATATTTACAAATTAACATACATTTACAACCTTCTCTCACTGCATGTATTCCCATATAGTCCAAAATTAGGTAAGTTGAAACTAAAACATATCCTAAAACTTTAAATTCAAGGCAACATCGAAAAAAGAAGCGGGAAGATGCGCCTCAGATGAATATGAAAAGGACACGAAATGTTGAGGTATGAACATTTTATAATGTCCAATGCTGCTCTCTAAAGCTTGTACTTTCTCTAGGCTAATTGTTAGCATGAATGAAACGGTTTATCTTAATTGCATCGATTTGATCTTGAGAGTGGGGAAAGGGTCAAAAGCAACAAACTTTAACAACCTTTACATTTTGTCACGCATAGTTAAAACAAAATAAAAAATACACCAAAATGAAGATGTTTAGTTTTTATTCAAACAGATTTACACATTATTTACAAATTTACATACATTTACAACACTCACTTGCATGTATTCACATATAGTGCAATATTAGGTAAGTTAGTAGAGACTAAAACATATTGTAACACTTTAAATTTAAGGCAGTTTTTTCTGCGCATGCGCAATTATATCCCGCTCTACATTGAGAAAAGAAGCGGGAAAGATTTACCTCAGATGAAAAATATAAAAGGGACACTAAATTTTGAGGTATGAAAATTATTTTGTAATGTCCTGCTATATAAAGTTTGTACTTTCTCTGGGCTAACTGTTAGCATGCATAAAATAATTTCTCAAGCACTGATCTTGAGAGTTGGAAATGGCAACTTACTTTAACAAACTTTGACGCTGGCTTTGAAGGTTTAAGTTGCACTTAAGCATGTGACTGGAGGTACCGTACGAGATAGCTGTAACACTCTGACCTATTTGGGCTAAATATAATATTATAACCCTGTTCTTCTTATTATAAATATATTTTGCACACGCTCCTTATGGCTAAACGTAGACTTTTTTACAGGTTACACAAACAACAGACTCCCTAATGTGCATAAGCTCTGTTTCATAAGAGTTCTGTTTCATAATTTGCATTGCTACATTGTTTTTGCTGATTTGTTAGGTTGAATGGTATTTACGACCGTTTCCGTTCAGGAACTCGAGGTCTGTGCAGTTTAGTGTGCATCCTGATGCATTTCTTATATAATCTGACTGGAGAGTCTTTTCTCTTGGAGCGCTTGAGGTTCATCCTCTTGAGTTTGCGTTTGAAGTCCACTAGATGACGCCCTCCCGCCATGTCTGTCCTCCAGTTTTGGATGAGCTGGGTTGAACAACTAGAAGAGACACCACAGATATTGGTTTTGCCTCGTGGTTTACACCTCAGAAATGTTTACATTGTATTATTACTTGCATTACAGACACATTTTACTGTACATATAGCACCACCCACAGATGTAAAGACACTAGCTTGCGTAAAGCAACTTTGAGTAGGGATAGTTCAACCCAAAATAAAAATTCTGTCATCATTTTGTTTATCCAGAGTAGGCATGGAACAAGAACCGGTTTCAAGGTTTATCATGGTTTGGAAAAGTCAAGGTATTAAAACCGCAAAAAATATTTTGTTATACCGTTTCTAAGGTATATTCATTCATTCATTCATTCATTCATTTTTGTCTCTTCATCCCCAGTGGAATGAACCGTCAAATTATCCAGCATTTGTTTTACATAGCGGATGCCCTTCTAGCTGCAACCCATCACTGGGAAACACCCATACAACTGGAGCACACAGAGGAAACCTGGGGAAACATGGGGCGAACATGCAAACTCCACATAGAAATGTCAGCTTACCCAGCTGAGGCTCGAACCAGCAACCTTCTTGCTGTGTGGCGGCAGCGCTACCCACTGCGCCACCACGCCGCCCTCTAAGATACATGTAAAGGTTTTTTTTAAGTGTTTTTTAATGTGTTGTAAGGAAATCTGTGTTTTTAAAGCTAATGAAGATAGTAGAAGTCAATGGTTTACTTTAATTATGTAGACTGACATGTTTACTATTCCAAAATCTTATAAATGTTTTCTAAAATGTAATATATTGTGTTAAACGGGGGAAAAAGTTGTTGTTTTTTTACTAGAAATTTTCTAAATACAGTGAAACCATGATATGTTTATTCAAGGTTATCATACTGTCAGAAACTTATACCGGCCCATGCCTAATCCAGAGTTTCTTCTGTTAAACGCAAAGGAGGATATACTGAAGAATATTAGAAAGCAGCAGCCCTTGACTTCTATGGTATTTTTATTCAGACTATGTATGGCAATGCCTTCGTTTTTCCAATATTCTTCAAAATGCCTTTCTCTGTGTTTAGCAGAAGAAAGAAATCCATAAAAGTTTAGTAAGTGGTGTGGAAATTTTCATTTTGAGGTAAACTATCCCTTCCACAGTCCAAATTAAGCCATAACGTTTGTACCTTTGTCCATTGAGACAGTCCTCAAACTTTGGAAGACTGAAGCAGGATTGTGAAACAAAGTCCATCAACAGTGAATGGACAGGGTCTGTTTCATCCAGTTCTTTGGATACGATCTTTTGGACAAGCCTGTGGATGAAACATATATCAATATTTAATATAGAAAAACATACTCAGTATCAGATTAACCCTGAAATATATTTAATTATTTTTTATTACTACTCTTAACCCAAAGTGCACTTTGATGTCAAAACGACATCCAATTGACATCAAGCATGACGTCAAAACACTCAAATCAATATGATGTCAAAACCCTGACATCCATTTGACATACGCACATTGATGGCCTTTTGACCACAAACATAACGACACAAAAAGTAATATAATAGAAGTTTTATCAATGTGAAAGCTTTGGTTTTACATTCACATTGGATTTTGTATTCCAATACAACTACCTTGAGGTCAAAACGACATCAAAAAACACACAAGAAAATCAATTACAGAGCTGTCCTGTAATCAGGTTTTGATGTGTTTTTTGAAGCCAATGTTAAGATATCAATTTGATGTCATTCTGACAACATAATAGTCAATTGACATCAAATCGATTTGCATTTTTGAAATGTTTTAGATGTAATTTTGACGTCAAGGTGCTCATCGGGAAATTGTCACACAAACCAGTAGAAAAGAGTTTGCATCGATTGCATTTGGCTGTAATACAGGGCGCGAGTGGGACTCATTTTCAGCCCTGGAGTTTTTTTGTTTTTTTTTATAATTATTTTTTCAGGGTTTTCACCTTTATTTTGACAGGACAGTAGTGAGAATTGACAGGAAAGCATGGGGAGCAGAGAGAGGGGAAGGATCGGCATAGGACCACGAGGTGGAATCGAACCCAGGTCGCCGCAATGCATATGTCGACGCACTAACCACTACACCACTGGCGCCAACTCAGCCCTGGAGTTTTAAACCTTAGCCCACCTCAGTTCACAACTTACTATATTAAAATAAGGTTATTTCCAATTCAGTTTCTAATGAAACTATCATGTCTTTTTCAAGGAAACAGCTGCTTTAAAACTTCAAATGTTTTTCATAAATATGAGAACATTAAAGGGTAGCTAAATCTCCAACACTATTCTTTAAACATCACTATGTCCCTTCCTGCAATATCTGAATATTCTGTGCAAAATTCCTTTGTAACAGTGGTCATTCAAAAAAAATAAAAATAAAATATGTACACCTATATAAGTAACCCAAACAGTATTATATGTCTTAACACTAAAAATGAAAAAAAATATAAAAATTACTCAGATGAGGTTCGAACTCGGGTTGGCAGCATCGATATGCAATGTGCTGACCACTGGACCACAATGGCACTGTTATCTATATGACACTTTTAACCACACTATGGCTGCGTCCGAAACCGCCTACTACTCAGTAGGTACTGCGTTTGAATTTAAATGTAATACTCGGCCGTTAGAAATGTACGTTCTATACAGTATGAACGTGAAAAGTATGAATGGAATTCGGACATACTACATCCGCCATTTTGTCATGGTCACGTGACCTACCTGCGTCAGTTGCGTCGCCTCACTTCCATTCATGAATTCTCTCACGGGGCATTATGGGATAGCGCAGCGTGCATGGGATGCGCACTTCAGAATCTCGTCGGATGTAGTAAGTCATCCGGGTACTTCTCGCCTGATTTTCGAATTCTATGAATTCAGACATACTACTCGGCTCGCATACTGATTTTAGCGTACTACATAGTATGGAAGTATGCGGTTTCGGACGCAGCCTATTACTTTCTATTGATGGCTTAATCTTTTTCTCCCCTTAAGTTATGTCAGATTTATTAATGTAGTGAATAATGTGGTGTAATATTCATTAATATTAAATATTCAAATTCTTATATTCACTAAGGTGCCGCTGTTTGGGGTTGAATGATAGTTAGATCATCATAAACCTGCAGGCTCCAATTTGCTCACGGGCCTGCGAGAAAATAAATAAAAAAAGCAGAGCTGCGGCAAAATAATGAATAAAAAGAGTGAGGCTATGGTCAAATAAATAAATAAATGAAAAAAGTGTGATTGCTGAGAGTGCAAGCAGCTAGGGACACCGGCCCTCGCGGACAAAAAAACGGACCGGCCCATCGGGACATCTCCAGGTCCTCTCGATTAGCCAATCCAGGCCTGCTGTAGTATATAAAACGTGCATTCACCTGGCTGTACAGTTGCAGTGATAAAGGGTTCTCCGGTCAGGATTCAGCAGACCAAATTTCTCCTGTAAAGCCGGAATCTGTAGATGGCATGAATCCAGGTCCTTATAGAGGTTACACATCTCAAACTCGCCTATAAAAAAAACATTATAGCATACTTAATTTGGCAGGCAGCTCACGTAAAAAATACTATTAATTATAGTAAACACTAGAGCAGTGGTTCTCAAACTTTTTCCATCAAGTACCACCTCAGAAAAAAATGTGTCTCTCCAAGTACCACCAAAATGAGCAGTATTGAAATACAGTAGTGTAGTAGGCCCAGTAAAGCAGCTACAACTCTGCACAGTTAAAAAATCATGGCAGATTACCTCAGAAATATAGGCTATATGGCATATTATGTACATCATTTTTGGTAAACTTTGAAATGTGTGTAGCATGTAAATGACATATTTCATTCCTCCGCATACCACTCCGCAAACTCCGTGTACACGTACCACAGTTTGAGAACCACTGCACTAGAGTGTTTTTGAACCTAAGTACAGCATATATATGTATATATTATAGCATTTACATCTCTTCCAGCACACTGTATTTTTACCTATAATGAGCTAAATACTGGCGACACGGTGGCTCAGTGGTTAGCACTGTCACCTCACAGAAAGAACGTCTCTGGTTCGAGTGGATCAGTTGGCATTTCTGTGTGGAGTTTGCATGTCCTCCCCGTGTCCGTGTGGGTTTCCTCTAAGTGCAGTTTCCCACACAATCCATGCATAATAGGGTAAATTGAATAAACCAAATTGGCCGTAGTGTATGAGTGTGTGTGGGTGTTTCCCAGTACTAAGTTGCAGCTGGAAGGGCTTCCGCTGCGTAAAGCATATGCTGGATAAGTTGGCGGTTCGTTCCGCAGTGGCAACCCCTGATGAATAAAGGATCCAAGCTGAAGGCAAATTAATACTAAATACTGTAGTATACTTTAGTTTTAACTACATGTAACCCCGCCGGACCTACGCCACCCAACCCGCTCCGAGCTGGGATTGAATCAGCAACCTTCCGCATGGGAGTCGGTTGCTCTAACAAAGAGGCTAAAGGACGTAGCTCCTAGTGTTCAATGCTAGAGCACCTTTAGAGGTCAGAGGAGTGAGGTTTACCTGCACAGCTCTTACTAGCTGGCCTCCGTTACTCTCACGCCCCCAAACCTCACTCTTATCCGGGTCACGGCACCAATGTGACCCCGCCGGTCCTACACCACCCAACTCGCTCTGAGCTGGGATCGATACGGCGACCTTCCGCATGGGAGTCGGTTGCTCTAACAAAGAGGCTAAAGGACGTAGCTCCTAGTGTCCAATGCTAGAGCACCTTTAGAGGTCAGAGGAGTGAGGTGTACCTGCACAGCTCTTACTAGCTGGCCTCCGTTACATACAGTAAACTGTGGTGTATTGTAGCATAATATAACTCTTAGTTGTAAAAAAAATAGAGTATATGCTTTACTAAAGTATTGTTCAAAAACACTCGAATTTACGATGATCTACTATGGTATTTTATATGAGAAAAGCTCTAAGTAGTGTTTACTTCACCTTGTGGGCTGTCTGGTTTATTTTGGGCGAGTGTTGTCTTCGGTGTGTATGTTGGGACGACGGAAGCTTCAGATTTCCGGGGCAGCAGTGTTGTAACAGATGGCCCTGGTGATGTGGAAACTGGACTCAGCGCTTCAGTGCCGTTCCTGGAATCTTTGGATTGAATTATAAGCGATTCTTCCATGTTTTTGGTGACTTGGTTCTGTCCAATGGTGATTGCTTGCTGAAAACTCGTTTCCAAGGACTCCATTTCTTGTTCAGGGAGTGTGTCGGTGTAGTTTGCTGCATCTTTGACCACAGCATATTGAGCAAGTTCAGACATGACACACCTGCCAATGAGGGAATAAGCAAGGGTTTTTGTAACTGTGTACATAACAATATGTGCTTAGAGATTGTGTAGAAATCACACCAAAGAGCCAAGTTTTGCCAATTTCCAAAGTTCAATGAGGTGTTTACGTCTGTTCATGGTCTGTCTAAAGCTTTTGATTTACAATGCAATCATTAGCTCACTAAAAAGTCTCACTGTTAATCAAAAGGATAAGATTGGTAAGGTTTTTGTTCAGGATATATACTTTTAAAGATCAAATTATTTGCCCTCCTGTGAAATCTTAATTCTTTTCATTTTAATTTCGGCGGCACTTTGGCTCAGTGGTTAGCACAGCAAGAAAGCTGCTGGTTTGAGTCCCAGCTGGGCCAGTTGGCATTTCTGTGTGGAGTTTGGATGGAGAACTGGGTGAACTAAATTGGCTGTAGTGTATGAGTGTGTGTGTGTGTGTGTGTGTGTGTGTGTGTGTGTGTTTCCCAGTACTGGGTTGCAGCTGGAAGGGCATCCACCGTGTAAAACATATGCTGGAATAGTTGGCGGTTCATTCCGCTGTGGCGACCCCTTTTAAATAAAGGAACAAGCCAAAGGAAAATGAACGAATAATGAAATGTTAATTTGTAAATCTTCCAAATGCTGTATAGCGGAGAGAATTTTTTTTTAAACATAATAGTTTTGTTTTGTCTGCCATGATGACAGCTATTTTGCAAGATGATTGTATTCTTAGAATTATTAGGTTAAGTGATTCAACAATAGTGGTTTATGCTGTAGCCAATCAAAGTACTTTATTAAGGGAGCTAATAATACTGACATCAGAGGTTTTAACATTTAAAAAGAAATATGTAGTTTTATTATTTCAGCTAAATTAGACGAAATAGGACTATTCCACAAGAAACATATAACAGGAGATAGGAAATACTGTGGGGGGGAAATGTCATTGCTCTGTTGAGAAACATCACATTGCTCTCTCATCACTTAATTAATAACTAACATTCCACAGGTTAATATATGTGTCCTTATCTGTACACTACCTGACAAAAGTGTTGTCACTGATTCCAGTTGTAAGAGCAATAAATAATAACTTGACTTCTAGTTGATCATTTGGAAAAGTGGCAGAAGGTCGATTGTTCAGATGAATCATCTGTTGAACTGCATCCCAATCATCACCAATACTGCAGAAGACCTACTGGAACCCGCATGGAGCCAAGATCCTCACAGTATCGGTTAAGTTTGGTGAAGGAAAAATCATGGTTTGGGGTTACATTCAGTACGAGGCGTGTGAGAGATCTGCAGAGTGGATGGCAACACCAACAAACTGAGGTATCAAGACATTTGTGCTGCCCATTACATTACAAACCACAGGAGAGGGGGAATTCTCCAGCAGGATAGCGCTCCTTCTCATACTTCAGCCTCCACATCAAAGCTCCTGAAAGCAAAGAAGGTCAAGGTGCTCCAGGATTGGCCAGCCCAGTCACCGGACATATACATTATTGAGCATGTCTGGAGTAAGATGAAGCCCTTTGCCTTTCACATAAGCCACTTCAGATACCAAATGATCAACTAGATGTCAAGTTGTTCCTAAAACTTGAATAGGCAACAAGACTTTTGTCAGGTAGTGTAAATATATATACAAATATATATATATATATATATATATATATATATATATATATATATATATATATATATATATATATATATATATATATATATATATATATACATATATATACATGATACATACATATACATCATGTCACACTTAAGGCTGGAGTACTGCTGCTTATAATTCAGCTTAATCAATAAATAAATGACATTTTACATTTTAAAATATCTTCAAATAGAGAATGATTGTTTTAAATCATAATGATATTTAATACCAAATGATCAACGAGAAGTCAAGTTGTTCCGAAAACTTGGATAAGCAACAAGACTTTTGTCAGGTAGTATATATATATATATATACAGCATCCATACAATATATACATGATACATACATACATCATGTGACACTTAGGGCTGGAGTATTGATGCTAAAAATTCAGCTTAATCAACAAATAAATGACATTTTACATTTTAAAATATATTCAAATAATTGATAACTGTTTTAAATCATGATAATATTTAATAATATTACTATATTTATGAAAACAGCTGGGTTCCTCACAATTCCTAAAAAAATCGATTGAGTTAACTTAATTGTTTTTATAAATTTTAAGTGGATTAAACATAAAACTATTAAGCTGTCCCCCCCCAAAAAACCATAAGAACTGTGTTGTTTTAACTCATTTTAAATAAGTAGCTTAAACAAACAGCAAAAATTATTTTTTGAGTGTATCTTGGTGACCATATAAGACAATTCCAATATAATCACTATAATGTGCCAGATTTCTGATTATTTTCAGATCAAATTTTTTTTTTGTAAATTTAAAATAGGATACACACCTGCCCCACCATGTTCTCTTCGCACACTGCGTCCGCTGAGAGAACTCAAAGCAGCTCATCTTTAGCACGTTGAAAAACCCGTAGCCCACAAGGTTGGACATGCTATTATTAACACCCAGGAGACAGCGGCGGAACCTGAAATTGATATCACAGGGACTGATTACAATGTTATAGAAAACAGTAATACAAGACACTTCCTCTGTAAAATAACTGGACATGTCTCATGTTACACAATATAACACTGTAGAATGAATGCTCGCTATAGGCAGCATGCTTATCAGTACAATGCTCACATTTTTCATTATTATAATGCTGAAAATAAGCACTTCTATAAGTGTTTTAAGCACAGTTATGTGGAAACCGTGTGTTAATATAGGCAGCCTCTAAAAGTAAACACTAATTATTTCAATTTATTATAATCGCACTTGATAAAAACAGTCTGCAGAAACACTTTCATTGACATTCTCCCCCTTTATATATGTTATCAGAGGGGGAAAGCCCCGTCCATTAGTGACGATCTCTTCCGCATTAGCATAGACAGCCCTAAGTGAGAAGCAGCCGTCCATCATTAGACACCAGAGTCTCCATACACTGCTTTACTCTGAGCCACTTCTTTTGACATTTTCGTTTTTTCACAGAGATGACATTAGTTTTGTTTTGAATCTGCCGCTATGCTGATGCATGTTCATAGCTCCGCCCTCTATTGAAAAAGAGCCCAATCTCATTTGAATTTAAAGCGACTGTCATCAAAATGGCACAATTTGAATCAAAGGCTAAAAGGCGGATGTTTTAAAGAGTTATAAAACATTATTTGTGTGGTATTTTGAGCTGAAACTTTACATACACACTCTATTTTACCTATTTAAAGAAATGAAGCGGGACACACCTGTTGTCACAGTCACAGTGTGATAAGGTGAAGAGGTTTGTGTTGAAGACGCCATGGTCGTACGAGAAGGAGGGAATGGTGTGTTTGCAGTGGTCATGTTCTCTGCAGCATTTATCCGTTTCTTCAAAGACGCCTGCAAAAATAAAAGCCATTTTTTGAGTATTTTTAATCTGACCCGTATCGTTTTCATAAACTAAAATATTAGTTTTTGTTCATTTTCTTAGGCATTATGTTAAAATGTTTCCAATTTGATTTGTTTAGTTGTAAAACTCCAAATTACAAATAAATTGTTCAGCATTTTAGCAAATATTGGATAAGATCATGTTTAAAATGTATTCTTCAATATGTAATATAACTTTGCTTTTTTTACGCCTTTTTATGTTTGTTTTATCATATTAATGTCTGATAATCTTTCTTTCAAATGTCAAAAAACCTTTTTCATTTAGAGCATGTTTTCCTTTGTTAGAAAATTCAGGTTTATTCCATCAAATATTGATTTATTAATTCTTTTAAATGGCACCTATTTTACCCCCTCTTCCAGATTTATTATAAGTCTTTTATGTCTTCAGAATGTGTCTGTCAGTTCTAGCTTTAAACAACCTAGCTTTTCAGAAATTTGTCATTTTTTGCTTTGAGCATCTTGTTGCTGTTTTTGTGTACTGTGCCTTTAATGCTCATTCTCCCCACCCTTCATTCCCATGTGCATGTCAGTGTGCATAATAACAATAATTCTGTAAATATTTCTAAATTTAAAAAAATGCCTGTACTAACATTAAAGTTCATGTGTATTAATTTCTATGTTGAAAAAAATATCATCAGTGTTTAAATTTCTAAAACTAGCATGTAAAGATAAAGCCATTTTACAGTAATATGCTGTAATCATGCTACCTGCCTTAATTTCACAATAAAATTCTGAATATGTCAAATTTAACAGTCAAATCCTGTCAAGTGACACTAATGTAATTTACTGTGGAATAATTACAGTAACATGTTGTGAAATTCTGGGAATTTAGTATTCAGCTTACATTTTAGCAATTACTAAATTTATAATAAAGTTATTTAGGCTAACTAAGGCAATTCATTGGACAACAGTGGTTTGTTTTGAATTCAAATGCAAAAATATGTTGACCTTAAAAATTGCTTTTAAAAGCTTGAAAACAATTATATAATAATAGATTTTCTTCTAGATAAAGTCTTATTTGTTTTTATTTTTTTAAAAACCATTTTAAAGTCAATTTTATTAGCCCTTTAATATGTTTTTATAACTTGCTTAATTACCCTAACCTGCCTAGTTAACCTAATTAACCTAGTTAAGCCTTTAAATGTCACTTTAAGCTGTATAGAAGTGTCTTGAAGAATATCTAGTCAAATATTATTTACTGTCATCATGGCAAAGATCAAATAATTCAGTCATTAGAAATGAGTTATCAAAATTATCATGTTTAGAAATGTGTTAAAAAAAAATCTCTCCGTTAAACAGAAATTGGGGGAAAAAATATATAGGGGGCTAATAATTCAGGCTTCAACTGTGTATATATATATATATATATATAATATCTGATTGACTGATAGCCGTGCTATATTTAAGTAATATCAGCACCCGCACATCCTCTTTACCCTTTGTGTGTATTACTCCGCCCACATACAGCCAGCAAAAAGCAGACACTACACAACTAAAGATTAAACGATGCACGCTCAACTGTTTAACTGTCAGCTTATGATTTGAATCCAATGCGGAAGTAGTTCCTCATACAAAAGGGTTTTTGAGACTCTTCATGTTTGATTTTGTTTTTATATACACAATTATGCCGTCAATCTGTTGTATAAACGCAATATCACACTCTTAGCAGTGTGATATGGCTGTATATCGGCACTGGTGGGGGCACTAAGGCACTCGGCCTCCCACCAGTGCCGATATACAGCCATATCACACTGCTAAGAGTGTGATATTGCTCATTTATATATATATATTTATATATATATATATATATATATATATATATATATATATATATATATATATATATATATATATATATATATATATATAGTTGAAGTCAGAATTATTAGCCCCCCTGAATTATTTGCCCCCCTGTTTAATTTCTTTCCCAATTTCTATTTAACGGAAAGCAAATTTTTTCAACACATTTCTAAGCATAATAGTTTTAGTAACTCATTTCTATTAACTATTATTTTATCTTTGCCATGATGACAGTAAATACTATTTTACTAGGTATTTTTTAAGACACTTCTATACAGCTTAAAGTGACATTTAAAGGCTTAACTAGGTTAATTAGGTGAACTAGGCAGGTTAGGGTAATTAAGCAAGCTATTGTATAACAGTGGTTTGTTCTGTAGACTATCTGAAAAACAATGAGCTTAAAGGGGCGAATAATTTTGTCCCTAAAACAGTTTTTAAAAAATTTAAAACGGCTTTTATTCCAGCTGAAATAAAACAAATAAGACTTTCTGCAGAAGAAAAAATATTATCAGACACACTGTGAAAATTTCCTTGCTCTGTTAAACATCATTTAGGTAATATTTATAAAAGAAAGAAAAATTCAAAGGGGGGTTAATAATTCTGACTTCAACTATATATATATATATATATATATATATATATATATATATATATATATATATATATATATATATATATATATATATATATATATACTTACATATAAACATATATAAATGGATTAATTCTTACCCAGGTCAGTCCATCCTGTGGCTTTATTTCCAGAGCCACACCACAGAGTCCCAGGAATCATCCATGCTCGTTTCGAGCGCTGCAGTGTCTTTATGGAGCTGACGTCACTGTCCTGCTCCACGAATCCATCCGGTTCAACACTCATCAGGTCTCTGGCCCTCCGTACAGACGCTGCAAACTCCTCTGTGACACCGGCAACCTCACAGGGGCCATCAGCTTCAGTCAGCACACTAATGTCAAAGCGTTCATCCAGAAGCTGTGAGAAAGAGCTGTCCTCCAAACACCTGGACATGTAGCTGTCAATAATAGACTGCTCATTGCTTTTGACACAACTAAAAAGCCTATTATTTTGCTTCCAGATGCTGTCATACAAGATAAGAGATGTCTGAGTCCTTTGGAGAAACGCATACTGTGTTCGCCCTCCTGAAACAGACCTCGTCCAAATACAGTAAGTGTCAGAATTCATATCATTGGTGCTGAAACAACCATGAAACAGCATGAAAATGGAGACAATCTGTAAAAAGTTGCTTAGCATTTTTGGCTAATAGTGTTAGCTTCATGTGTTTTATATCTGTTTTGGAATGAATGAACAGTCAGATGTGCTTGCCCCCTCCTTATTTATACTCCCATCCCATCCTTATTTCCCTTGTATTGGTACTCGTGGCCACATCCGAGCTGAAGGGGTGGGACGACACAAAAGGGGGTGTGTGTTTGGTAAATACAGACTTGGAAGCACAGGTGTCTGCTCACTCACTCACTCACACATCTATAAATTAGATTGTAAAACCCTCTGGTTTCCTGAGTTCACATGAGTGTAATTATCTCTCCGGCTGATCACTATCACTTTTTATTAGTGTCAACAATGCCCTCAGCAGTAAACACTTAATATCGTATTACTCAGGATGAAGCGATGCTTCACAACGTGACAAAATGACTCAAACTCCACCGTGGGAGGAGAAAGAAACATCCGATGTAAAACTTTCACATTGGAGGGGTCAGATTAAATTAGGTCAGCATGGGCATTACTACATTACACAGAGTTTATTCGAATCAGTAGGTGCTTATGTGTTTAGCACGCTCTTCTGTACAGTAAATTGGTAATAAATAGTTGCAATGCCAAAATGCATTTATTGATCTTTTAATAATGATTGTTCCCAGAATACTGCCATTATTTTTGTTATTATTGTTGTTGTTGTTGCTATTAATATTATTATTTATTATTATTATTATTATTTTATTTTATTATTATTATTATTATTATTTTATTTTTTATTATTATTATTATTGTTATTGCTATTATTATTACTATGATTATTATTATTATTATTATTATTATTATTATTATTACTATTATTATTATATTATTTTTGTTATTATTATTAATATTATTATTATTATTATTAATTTTATTATTTTTATTAGTATTTTGTATTATTAACATTATTATTTTTGTTATTATTATCATTATTATTATTAATAATAATAACTTTATTATTGTTATTATTATTATTACTATTATTATTATTATTTTATTATTACTATTATTATAATTATTATTACTATTACTATTTTATTATTATTACAATTATTATTATAATATTATTGTTATAATTATTATTATTAGTAGTAGTAGTAGTAATATTATTATTACTATTGTTATTCGTTTTTTATTATTAACATTATTATTTTTGTTATTATTATTATTATTATTATTAATTTATTATTGTTATTGTTATTATTATTGTTATTGTTACTATTATTTTTTACTATTATTATAATTATTATCACTATTATTATTATTATTACTATTATTTTTGTTTGTAATATTATTATCATTATTATTATTATTACTATTACATTTAAACATAAGAAACAGGCAGATTGTCCATATGTAATTAGAAAGTAGAAAAGTTGTTGCTAATTTATAAACCAGCCAAAAAAATAAAAATAAAAAATCCATGAGTATGAATTTGAAAGCATTTTACAGAGCTGCAGGACGCTGCAGTGTTTACCTAAGGATGCAAAGGTCACATGAGCTTGCTGTACGTGTCGCTCTGCGCTGATTGGTGCAAATCTCGCATGATTCGCACAAAGTTTCTGTCCAGTCACCATTGGACGCAGTCCTAATAACCATTACAGTTTTTTTACTGGTGCCATTTCTGCTGGTAAATGTAGTTCTAATATCAATCAGATGAGGCAAAACACAAGCTTATAATAAGATTTATATCAAAGGAGAGGAAAAACACATAATCATTTCATTATTTACTTTAGTGAAGAGTGGAAAGCTCTCTGAGGGACATTTACACCGACTGTTAGCTCAGTTCGAAATCAGTGCAATTATGTTACTACAGTCAAAACCCCAGTGAGCTGGAATTTGTGAATGTCTTTTCTTCCTTTGGTTCAGAGTAATAGATATTCATTCTAGACAGCCCTAAGAAAAACACAGACTCATAGAAGTGAGAAATGATTTAGCATCATTTGTTTAGTATAGTGATGCTTAAATTTAATTCTATTAAAAAACAATGTAGTTTTCGTACCAATAGTTCCACCAACATGACTTACACAACAAATAGTTCCCAACATTAGGTTTCTGAAATACTGCACTGTAAAAACTGCAGAGTTCCACACTATTCATTCATGTTGTCCCAACACAATTCGGTTAAGTTAATTTAACAAACTGAAGGGGATTGAACATAAAACAATTAAGTTGTCCCCAGAAAAATCTCTATAGTTGTGTTGTTTCAGCTCATTTTGTTCAAGTAGTTTGAACAAGCAAGAAAGCCCTCTCCCGGAATCTGAGGTGGTGCCACTGCATCAACCAACCAAGAGTCTCCAACACTGCGAGATGTGTTTAAAACTGTTTATATATTTGGTCACACTTTACAATAAGGTTCATTAGTTAATGTTAATTAATGCATTTACTAAAATGAACAAACAATAAACAATACATTTACTACTGTATTTGTTCATGTTAGTTAACGTTAGTTAATGAAAATACAGTAGTTCATTGTTAGTTCATGTTAACTCATGGTGCATTAACTAATGTCAACAAGCATGGACTTGGATGTTAATAATGCATTAGTAAATGTTCAATTATGATTAATAAATGCTGTACATGTGTTGTTCATGATTAGTTCATGTTAGTAAATGCATTAACTAATGAACCTTATTGTAAAGTGTTACCATATATTTTTATATAATATCTTTGGGGGAAAGTACATGTAAATAGTGCTGTAGCAATGAGGATTTTTTTACTAGCTGGCCTGTAAGTTTGCGTCATGCAATAGCTTTTTTTTAATTGGCTTTCAATTTACTTTAAAAAAATAAAGTCTGTGACCATCAAAAATGTATGATTTCCATTCTTTTCCCTTTTTTTCTCATGATAATCTATCATTCCTATCATTTTGAAACTTGCATTTGAAAAAAAAATCATGATCGCTGAAATCACAGTCACATGGCTTCAAAGAAAACTCCTTTCTTTTTATACACGTTTTTACTGAACGTTTGGCTTAGAATAATCTGAACCATTATCATAAACCCAAAGCTGTGAAAGCGATGAGTTTATCTGACCTTTGGGATGATGTTTAATGTGTTCGCGGACATTAAACGGTATCACACGATCAGATAAACTCCAGTAACCTCTATTGTCTCACTACAAATATTGTGAACTGTGCTCTCATACACAGGGAATTTGTCTCAATAATGATGCATCCAGTGTACAAATTAATTACACAAGACAATAAATGAAAGAACAATATATATATACGGTTGAAGTCACAATTATTAGCCCCCCTTTGAATTCTTTTATCTTTTGTTAATATTTCCCAAATGATGTTTAACAGAGCAAGGAAATTTTCACTGTATGTCTGATAATATTTTTCCTTCTGGAGAAAGTCTTACTTGTTTTATTTCGGCCAGAATAAAAGCAGTTTTTAATTTTTTAAACACCATTTTAAGGACAAAATTATTAGCCCCTTTAAGCTATATATTTATTTCTCGATAGTTTACAGAACAAACCATCATTATACATTAACTAGATTAGATCTTTTTAGGTTAAGAGGTTTTTGAGTTATTGCCGTCTATTACTGAATGTGTACGATCTATCGAAAACAAAACCAACTTAACCGCGCTCATTTCTGGCGCCCCCTTGGATGTACAGCGCCCTTAGCATTTGCCTATACTGCCTATGCCACGGGCCGGCCCTGCTACTCATTTTGTGAGTTTTATAATTTGCTATGTTAGACCCAGAGGGCATCCTCAGCATAACTGTGAAAACTACTTTCAATGCTCTTAGGAGTAGCATACAATGTGAAAACCAGCGACAAGATGATCCCAAGGATTACACATCCGGGACCAGGCCATATCCTGAGCTGCTGCTGCGCTGATGGTCGTGGGGAGTGGAGAACATGAGTCTGATTCCAGCGACGCTCCAGGGACAGACGAGTCTTCGCTGAGGCCATCTTCCAGCCTCCACCACGGCGACTGAAGCTCTGCACAAGACTTTTGGCCAGCGGAGAAATTAAAATGGTCGTGCCCAACTGAGTCTGGTTCTCTCAAGGTTTTTTTTCTTCACTCCCATCAGGTGAAGTTTTTTTTCCCTCTCCGCTGTCGCCATTGCCTCGCATGGTTCAGGATTGGTAGAGCTACGCATCGATGAATTTGCTCTTCAGTGTTTGAACTCTCAGTAATGATTAAATCACACTGAACTGAGCTAAACTGAACTGAACTGAACTTAAACACTAAAACCTGAACCACACTGTTCCAGTTACTATGACCATTTATGTGAAGCTGCTTTGACACAATCTACATTGTAAAAGCGCTATACAAATAAAGCTGAATTGAATTGAATTGAAAATCAATGGTTCATGTGCTGAGTCTTGTGCCACTCCATATTGAACTTGCGATCGATAAGACATTCATTCTTTATTGCTACAAATAACAATCAGAAAGGTAAGCTGCAATGACTGCTTTCATTGCTATGAAATGTGTCTGGAATTCCTCACAGATCTAAGAATGAACATAATCGTGTTGATTACACTTTTTCTAGAACTTCGGATCTCAACCTCAGCTTGTAATTCACTAATTTGAGTCGAGTTTTGTTAGGGTTGGGCTCACATCCTATTAGAATTGATTCATTAGTAAGAGTTGATTCTTTAACGTCTGCAAACCTTTACATTTGAATGACTTAACCAGTAGAGACATTCATATAAGGAAGTATTGACGTTTTTTCCTCTAGAGATCTCCAGCGCATGATTTGCAGGAGGCTGTAGCTGACAGTTTTGTAGTTATAATTTTGTCTCTAAAAATGTCTCTTTTAAGTAAAAAAAAATAATAATAAGTCATTACTGCTGTGTTGTCAAGACGCATCTGTTCCTCCTGATGCTTCATTTCTGGTTATTCATTATATAATGATGCAAGTAAACATGACGGCACCAGATGAAAGGCCAGTGGAAGTTTAAGTCCTCGTCAATTGTTCGAAGGTCAAGCTTTGAGAATGAGTTTGAAGATTACAATCTGGATAAGCTTCAGACACAACACCAAAAAAAACAGCCCTCACATGACACCTTGTACCAGAGACTTTCCTCTCACTCACCTGATGACCTTTGTTCCAGATTCCAGAAACACACTCTTCATACACCCGATCCATAGGCAACAACTGAAAACACTTTATTAGCCAACACCAGTTTTTTTCATACCTGTAAACGTTACAGAGATGAACTCCAACGCAACAATGACAAAACATATAACTGGATAACACGTCCATGAACTTCATGCGCATAACAATGAGACCTATCCATACGCAGCCGATGCGCTTTACAACTCAGACAACCTGCAATTAACTGTATACGACTCTAAAAAGGACTGTTCTAAGCTTCATATTCACAATTTATTATATCAGCTCACTAACTGAAACATAAACATAAAAAAACATGTATGGACAGTGTATATTTCTAACGCCAAACAACAGTGGACAATAGCATTCTGCATGCTATTTTACTTAAAGAAACACTCTGTTTTGGAAATAGACTCGTTTTAAGATCCATAGAGGTACAAAGTTGAGTTTTACCATTTTGGATCCATTCAGCTGATCTCTGTGTCTGGCAGGAGCACTTTTAGCTTAGTTTAGCTTAGCGTTAGCTATTGATAGGGATTAGACCATTTTACTACACTACCTGACACAAGTCTTGTCATCTATCCAAGTTTTAGGAACAACAAATAATAACTTGACTTCTAGTTGATCATTTGGCATCAAACCATGATTTTTTTCTTCACCAAACTTGACTGATTTCTATGAGAGTCTTTTGTCCATGTGGGTTCCAATAGGTCTACTGCAGTATTTTTTTGATGTTCGACAGATGGTTCATCGGAAAATTAGATTTAATGCCTGCCCTGCTGAAAAATCCAGCTTATACAAGCCTAGGATGGTTGGCTGGTTTTAGCTGGTCAGCCAGGCTGGTTTTAGAGGGGTTTTGGCCACTTCCAGGCTGGTTTCCAGCCATTTCCAGCCTGGTTTTAGCTGGACAGGCTGGGAGATGACCAGCTAAAACCAGCCTAGCCAAAACCTGCTATGTCCAGCTAAAATCAGGCTGAAATTGGCCAAAACCCTTCTAAAACCAGGCTGGTCCACCAGCTAAAAACAGCCAACCATCCTAGGCTGGTATAAGCTGGATTTTTCAGCAGGTATGCAATGATATTCGCCATATCAGTGAGCATTCTATGCGCTTGGTCCAGCTCTGGAGGAAATAAAAGTGTCTGATCTCTATGAACTTTGACATTTGTAGAAAACACTGTTGAAATTGGACCTGGCTATATGCGCAGAAGGGACTACCTGATATAGCCAGAGGCGGAGCCGCGGAATAAAGCCTCCAACCAAACGCTTGTATGTCAAATCAACCACGCCCCCCAAACTTCTCACTAGACCAACTGTATCTGCACAATAACTAAGGCTCACTAATATAAATACTGTATAAGTACTCACATTTAAAAACACGCAATGTGATGTGTGATGAAAGCAGTATTTAAAAAAACAATATATGTGGACTGCAGAAATAAATGCTCTTTCATACACTCTGGCCTAAGTTAGACTCAGCAATGAGCACAAAAAATATTTCTCTTACAACGGGCTGTTGCTATTTATTATCTTTATAGGGGTAGAAATATCATTTGTAAAATATGAACAATAACATATGAGCAACACATACATTTTAGAAAGGTTTTTATGTTTAATTAACATTAAACAGGACCCAAAATATACACATCATGGACAGCTACATATTTACCATGCGGGAAAAATCCTGCGTTTAAGGGTTTATTTGGTTTTATTTGGTCCGCACCAAGGGTAATAAATGATACATTGTTGCATTTTCTGCCGTCTTTGGGTCGCTTTCACACCACACTGCTGGCTTTGGTCCGAACCAGTTGAAAGGAACCAAAATGAAGTCATCTGACAAAATCAACATCTCTCATTGGCCAGATGTTGTTGAACATATTTCCTAAACTACTTATTGATTGGTCAGAATTCACATGAGGGAAAATGCCAGATAACTCCCGCAGGTAAACAAAACCGGCAGACACAAAATTTCGCTTTTTACTATGAAGGGACGACTGCGCTGACTGATTGTATCCCTGCTTTAGACAAAGTATACATTTCGAGAATGAAGCCCGGCTGGAAAACAGGGTTTTCATGCATCGCACTTCACTTCAGGCGTGAATTAATTTAGCTAAACTGCGACATGGTCATCTTGAGGAAATATTACCAACGATCCATCAGGTAATGTTCCCCCCCTCCTCCCTCTCTGTTGGTAAAGCGCTGTCAACAAATATTTTTCCTCCATATCCCATAATGCACAGCGCATCGGCCTACGGCAGCTGGATTAGTCCAAAAGGCGCAGTACTTTTTGCTGTTGGACCTGTTTTAGTACGAATCATATTCTCACCAAAAACGAACCGCTCCAGGGTTTGTTTAAAAGCGTACCGAGACCACCTCTTCAAGCAGGTCTAGGTACTCTTATTTGGTCTGCTTTTGGTGCGCACTTGAGTACGATTGCTGCATTCTCACCTGCCCAAACGAACCGCACCAAAAGGGGAAACGAACTCTAGTGCGATTCAATTGAACTAAATAAGGCAGGTCTGAAAGCACCCTAAAAGATATAAACACAGCAAGATTCTAAATATGAACAGGATATTTACACATCCCATCCCAGCACAATATAAAATAATCCTTATCAATTTGTGTTCCACCAGATCCTGTGTGTCAGATAGCTTACTGCTGAACTTATTTATCGTGGTACAATAACACAGAAATCGAATAATAAAACTTCAATCTCATCTCGAAGCTCCAACGCTCTGCTTAGAGGAACTGTCAATCACAATGACACGCCCTGTTTTTATAGCATTACATTTTTGGCTAAAAACATACTCTTTATAAAAACGAAGACCTGCACCTATAGCAGCTTGATAACCAGTGCCTTCATTGACCAAAACCCTCTTTCGCGTCTTCGCGTCGGCTTGGTAGCTGTGATCAGTGTGGGTGGGACCGAAAACCCGCACAAACCCGTTGGAGCGAGTGTTTTGGGTGAGTCGAGTCCAGTGAAGGAGCTCCAGATGGAGCCTTTTGTTTTGTGTTTACCTTATGATTAAAGTCAATGCACGTCCACCGGTTCCCGCCTCTGAATGAGCGAGTTTTAGCTACATGTACATTAAGGTAGCGTTCAGAAAAAACAAAACAACCACTAAGAAACTTGACAAAAAGGAACATCAAACCCTACTGCCAGCTAGCGTTTCGTAAGTGTTATGTGGAGAGACCCCACCATGATTGTGAAGTGCTTTGGGTGGATGGTCATACACGATAAATGCACTATATAAATACACATTACATTACAAGTAAGGTTTTGAAATCGGCTGCAATGCTAACTTTTTGGTCTTTTTGCAAGGTAGCAGTGTTAGCCAATGTAACGATGTCCGCTTGAGCAGTGTCGATTTCAGTTTTTTTCAATGTCTTTCAACATTTTCGTTAACTGTTTAAGGCTTTACTTTTGACAGTTCAAATTTAGATCAGTTTGGGGTTCGACAGAAAACATTTTAAAGATATCGCTGCGAAAGACAGAGACTGTGCCGCCTTCACATGACAACCAGAATTCGATATTCGCCATATCGTCCTAGAAAACAGCAACTTTTCATTTTCCTTAGTCTTAGTACGCGATGAAACTACAGAATAATGAATATTTAAATAGCAATATTATTGAAACTCTTTCTTGACTTTTTTAAGCAAGATGCTAACGGTCTAATCTGATTTAAGGAGCTCCAGATGGAGCCTTTTGTTTTGTGTTTACCTTATGATTAAAGTCATTGCACTTCCACCTGTTCCTGCCACCAAATGAGCGAGTTTTAGCTGCTTGTAAATTAAGGTAGCGTTCAGAAAAAACAAAAAACACTAAGAAACTTGACAATAAGGAACAAAAAACCCTACTGCCAGCTGGCATTTCCGAAGTGTTCATGCAGAAGTATAAATGCAAGACTATGCGCAATGGGTCACGCCGATCACTTGACGCAGAAATATTAATCAGCCTTAACTCTAGGGGTGTTGTATGAGCCTATTTCCAAAAAAAGTGGAGTGTTTCTTTAAAGAACTGGCATTTTACACAAGTAAAGCCATTTTTTTTCCCGCAGTGTCCTCGAGAATATTTGGTTACAGGGTTTGAAGACTAAGATAACTGCGTCACATCTGTATTTGTGAGGTTTTGTTCTTTAAGGCATTTAATGAATGACTAGCATACAGGATAAAACAAAGTAACTGAGTTTCCTAGGTTTTCTCAATTAGACCACTGCAGCTCATCACATGGTTTCAGGCGAGGTAAAGTCAAAAGAAACGGTTATCAGCAGTTCAAGCTTGGAAGCGAAATTACTTTGTTTGGAAGAGAGCATGGTACGATATGCTACCAGAACTGGAGATCTTTGGAGATGCGATGCCTCAGTCATCTGCTTCAACGCTGCTTTGATTCAAGAGAACATGCCAGCGCTCGATCTTCTTGTCCTTGTTTTTCAGACATTCATACCAGTGTTTCAAACATTCGCCTTTGGCGGTGATTCCCAGCTGGCATCCACCTGTGTAGAAAACACACCAGAACTTTTAAGTTGGCATGAAATGTACGCAAAAATACATTCATTCGTTTTCTTTTCGGCTTAGTCCCTTTATTATTCCAGGGTCGCCACAGGGGAATGAACTGCCAACTTATCCAGCATATGTTTTACGCAGCGGATGCCCTTCCAGCGGCAACCCATTTCTGGGAAACATCCACACACACTCATTCACACTCATACACTACAAACAATTTGGCCTACTCAATTCACCTGTACCACAGTCCAAAGCCATACGGTACAGGTGACTTGTCCGTAGTGTATGAGTGTGTATGGATCTTTCCCAGAGATGGGTTGCGGCTGGAATGGCATCCGCTGCGTAAAATATATGCTGGATAAGTTGGCGGTTCATTTCGCTGTGGCGACCCCGCATTAATAAAGGAACTAAGCCAAAAATAAATGAATAAATGAATGTTGGCAGAAGGAGACGACCGTCGTGATGTTAATGTAGTGATGAAAGTTAATTTGGAGCTAATAATATGGCAAAACAATCTGAACTTGAATTGTGTTAATTTGAATTATTGACAATTGTAATTTAATAAATCAGAATTTTTATATGCCGTTTTATTGTTTTGAATTTCTTAATTAGAATTTAGTTATTTAAATTTGAATTTCATAACTTGAATATTGAACATCTGAAATGTAAGACGACTGAATTTTTCAAGGCTGATTTTTGTTTTCAGACTTCAGATTTTTGTGTGCTGAATTAACAGACTGCAGATATTGGGTTTGTAAAAATACAGTTTCAAATTCAAGATGAAGAAATTCAGAACATCAAATTCAATATCCTAAAACTCAAAACCAGAAATTCAGATTGTGAAATTTAGATTCAGCAGAAAGTAGATGGTTTAGATATTATAGATATTATACAAAGCTCAAACATGTGACCATTTTGGTCGCATATGCGCCCGAAATTTGACCTGTGCGACTTCAAAATATATTTGGGAGCATTTGTGCGAGTGCAAAAAATTGTTGTGTGCGACCAGTTTTTACTGCAAAATGTTCACCACATGCGCGGATTCGGGAGACATTCACGCAGAAAGCATCTCTGCACTTGAAACGCATCACTCAGGAATGTTTTAAAACAGTTGTCATGTCAACTTGCTGCAGTAAACAAAGACCGTCCGTAATGCTTGCCCCGCCTTCGCGCTCTTCTTATTGGCCCACCACTGCTCTAGCACTGAAATATCAGCTGTCAATCACTCAGTCAATGCCTTCTGGCTTGGGATGACAGAGAGAGCTACTACCGTGAAAAACTGTAAAGCGCTGAAGATGAGAATGAAGATAACACTGACAGATTTTGTTTTAGAAACCATGGCATCTAAAGTTACAAATAATGACACATCTTAGTGATCATGTGCTGAATGTTTATCCACCATCTACACTTTTCGAAGAGTGGATAAAAGACTTCCGTTGTCTTCAAGTCCGCTATGAAAAGTCTGTGGGATGGAGTTTTCAGGTAACTGTTTGCCACATCTAGCACGAGAGCTTCAGTTTAATCCTTTATATAATCGCCAGATGCTGTCCGCCGTGCAAGTGGCAGCTATATGTCAAATTTAACACCACGTACACCATCGCAAACGGGCTTACACTGACTAAACTAATATCGCTACTCATAAAAAGTATTGATATTAACATGACGTATGCATATAATAAGGTACAGTATATGTCAAAAGCATCAGGGCAATATCAGACAGCACCCGTGAGAACAGCACAGTTATATCGTTAACAGATTCATTCATGTCAAGCAGTGCGTGCAGGGCCGGTGAGCGCTCCGTGTATCTTTTAGTCACTCAGTTATGTTAAAAAATAATAATTTTTCTTTGTGATAACGGGATTTCGTTGAGACATATTTTCCTCACGCTAACATATATATTTTTTTGCTTGTTAGTTTGATTACTGTTGATTTCAAATGCAATAATATGTTTGTATAAAACTTGTAGTAACGGTGCTTATAAGTGCGACTAAATTTTGGCTGATGCGCCTTAATTTTTAAAGTAAGGAGCACCAGTGCTACCAAGCAAAAGGGTTAATTTCGAGCCCTGTTATACCTTATAGATATCATACCCATAGCGCATGTCTTTGGACTGTGGGGGCAAACAAAGCACCTGAAGGGAAGCAACACAAACATGGGGAGAACCTGCAAACTCCACACAGAAATGCCAACTGGCCGAGCCAGGACTCGAAACAGCAACCTTCTTGCTGTGAGGTGACAGCGCTAACCGTTGAGCCACCGTGTCGCCATTGAAATGGAAAGTATGTAAAGTATTTCTCACCGATGAAATCATTGGATTTTCCCATATCATAATCCCAGACAGAAACATCCAAAGTCTTCTTGGCCAGTTCACCATGCTTGATTTCATAGCTGAACTCCTGTAATCAAACAAATATATTTTAACATGACAACAACAACAAAGGAAGCATGACATTTCCCATGATGCATGTCAAGAAAAGCATATGAAAGCACTGTGACGGAAGCACATCAGTGTCATGCTTCAAAACGTTCCCTGCAGGTCACATCGCCAGACATGAAGAGAAAGAAAGAGTACCTCATTAAACTCAGGGTTAAGGGTCTTCTTTTTGATCTGAGTCTTGTACTTCGCTTTCTTTCCCATGTCAGGCTTCAAGCAACTGCAAAACAGCACAAGAATTCAAAGGCGCTTTTGTGATCATTAAACAAGCCTAATGAGCGCCACAAAACAACACCACCATGCGAACGATGAACACAGAGAACGTTTTAATCACACTTAGAGAACTGCTTTCAGTGAATCTGCTTCTGATTTCGAATTAGATCGTGTTAGAGTTCCTTACATCTTTACAAACGGGTCTGAATAGCCATTGGAGTCCATTGCTGCCAGATGAGCACATCGGACGACACCCACGATCAGACGACCTTGTTGACTGTTGTAGGTGAGGGAAACCAGGATCCGTCCTCTTTCCTCTGCTTCATCATCCTTCAACTAAAAAAGCCACACGTAATATGAGTGAAGCCCTCATTTATGACGATGCTTTTTGCAATTATTCAAACCCAACCGAGGAAAACTGGAAATACATGCCTGATGCCCTACTGAAAAAAACAGCTTAAACCAGCCTAAGCTGGTTGGCTTGCTTTAGCTGGTTGACCAGGCTGGTTTTAGAGGGGTTTTGGCCACTTCCAGGCTGGTTTCCAGCCATTTCCAGCCTGGTCTTAGCTGGAGAGGGTGGGAGATGACCAGCAGGCAGGGAGAACATGCAAACTCCACACAGAAACGTCAACTGAGCTGAGGCTCGAACCAGCAACCTTCTTGCTGTGAAGCGACAGCACTACCTACTGCGCCACTGCCTCGCCCCAAAATACAAATATGTATGAATATTTTTATCTTACTGTGGACAAACCTGTAAAGTTATTTATAACATGCGTAGTATTACACAAAGAGAAATAAAGTTTGAATGCCTTACTGAACAGCACATTTCCAGCAAGAATATACCTCGGGAACGTTTCAGTCTTGTGTAGTGCAAGTTTGCAGTTATTTCTTTGTAATATTAACAAGTTTGTAATAATGCAAACTTTTTGACCAGTGTTTATTTTCATATGTAATTCCCAAAATGCATAACACCCTTACCTCCTCCTCATAAAGCGCCATGCCACGAGAAGCTCCACCACCAGCAGTACGTCTCACCTGCGCACAAGGCGTTAAACTCAACACAGTGCAGTCCTTACTGTAAACTTTCAGCTAAAAGCATTGTTCATGGTTCCCCCTTCAGCTTACCGGAATCACTCTCTCCAGACACACGTTGTAGGTCTTCTTCTGGTTCAGCTTCAGTTTTTTCAAGACCACCCGCGTCTCGCCGATAAACTCGTTATGGCCGAACTTGTCCTCATCGCTGACAGAAAGCCTGCCAGGGAACAATGCGGATGCTGACCCTTTTCACTCTGGGAAATGTCACAGCTTTAATTAAGTCCCCTGCAAACTGTTCTAACTGAATACTTTAGCGTGCCTCTTTTAAATGCAATGATTAATTTCAGGAATTTCTGATGCATTAACAGGTGCTGTATGTAAGTTTTTGACTCATTAGTCGGCAGCTAGCTCTCTGCAACTCTCACATAGTCGCCCATTAAAGCTAAGCAGAGCTGAGCCTGGTCAGTACATGGATGGCAGACTACATGGGAAAGCTAGGTTGCTGCTGGAAGTGGTGTTAGTGAGACCAGCAGGGGGCGCTCAACCTGCAGTCTGTGTGGGTCCTAATGCCCCAGTATAGTGATGAGCACTCTATACTGCTCAGTGAGTACCATCTCCTGGATGAGACATTAAAACCAAGGTCCTGACTCTTTGAAAAAGTGTTGGGGTTTAACCCTGGCATCCTGATCAAATGTGCCCACTGGCCTCTGTCCATCATGGCCTCCTAACCAACCCCATATCATAATTGCCTTCATCATCTCTGTTTCCTCTCCATCAATCAGCTGGTGTGTGGTCTGGCGCAATATAGCTGCCGTCGTGTCATCCAAGTGGATGCTGCACACTGATGGTGGATGAGGAGATTTCCCCAAAAATTGTGTAAAGTGCTTAGAGTGTCCAGAAAAGTGCTATATAAAAGTAAGCAATTAATATTATTATTATTATTATTATTATTATGATTATTATTATCCTTACAATTTGCAGAGCTTTTTTACGATGACTTGGGTTACAAGTTGACGTAAAAATATACACTAAAAAATGATCTCTTATAAAAGTGAGTCAATCCATTGCCTTAAAAGTGACAAGTTGATTTTACTTTAAAAATCTAAATAAATCTGTTGTAACTCTGAAGTGTTAAGTTCACTTAATTTATTTTTTTAACTATGCACCTTTAGTTAATAGTTAATTTACTTAATCATTTTAAAGCAACTGGTTTATTCAACTTTTAACCCAAGTAATGCACTTGACTCGATTTAAACTGAGTAAACTTAAAAAGCTCTGCAGCAAGTTGCATTATGCTGCATTCACACCAGACACGGATGAAGCGTCAAGCACGAGTGATTTACATGTTAAGTCAATGCAAAGATGAGAATAGTAACCCTGCAGTGTGTTTTGTGTAATTGACGTGAGTTGAGCATTTTGCGCGTTTGATGTGCTTAACGTGCGAATCGCGAGTTGGAAAATCTGAACTTCAGCAGACATCCGTGCCACATTAACCAATTATGAACTTGCTCTTGTAGGGGTGTGATTATGACGTAGTGCCTGTTGTTGGTGTCATGAGGTAATCCTCTCGCCGACATCGGACAACAGTTCATCAAACTGGGCTTGGCTCAGTCTGAGGCACCGCTGAAAGCCTCCATCATCCAGGTACAGTTACTGGAGGAGTAAATGAACTCACAGAGCTGGGTGCACCTCAGAAAGGATCTAGAGGACTCAGACATGGCGCCGAACAAATCTACGCTGTTTTTCAGTTTTCCTAAAGCACATAAACACAGCTTTTCTCTCAATAAAATCCAAGTTAGCCATTTAGCAATAAAGCTAGAGTCAGCGGGCAGACAGAAGCCCTGCCCATGATGGGAATCTGCATCTATTGTGAAGTGAATTTGACATGCGGATGAAGCAAGTAAACTCAAAATGTTCACGCATCTATTTAAGTGCGAATATCGCGATTTATTCGCATGTTCCACATCTGGTGTGAACACAGCATTACCATTTTAAGTTGAGTCATTGAGTTGTTTTGTATGATAAACAGTATTAAAATCAGTTATTCTCCTTTAAAAATATGCCTTTCTTTGTTTTAATTGGATAATAGGCCGGGTATTTTGAATTTGGACTGCAATAGCTAGTTCAACCACTAGGCTGTCATTTATTCATTTTCTTTTCGGCTTAGTGCCTTTTTTAATCAGGGATTGCCACAGTGGAAAGAACCACTAACTTATCCAGCATGCACAGCGGATGCACTTATAGCCGCAACCCAACACTCGGAAACACCCATACACACTCTTTCACACACATACACTACGGACAATTTAGCTTATTCAATTCACCTATAGCATATGTCTTTGACTGTGGTGGAAAGCGGAGCACCCGAAGGAAACCCACACGAACATGAGGAGAACATGCAAACTCCACATAGAAATGCCAACTGACCCAGCCGGGGCTTGAACCAGCGACCTGCTTGCTGTGAGGCGATCATGCTACCCACTACACCACCGGGATGCCACCATCATGCTGTCAATCCTACATACTGCACCTTTAAGTACAAAACACTGGTTTTACCTGAGAGTTTTTTTCTGCATGTCTTCGTTAGTGATGCCATGATAAACAAGGGTCTCGTTCCACACAGGATTCAAGGTGGTACGAAGCGTCTTTGTTCGTAGCTTGTTAGACTGTGAGATTGACAAAAACAGCAATCAAAATGGATGTAATTTGAAATGGATCAACATTTCAATCTGATTTCTTACATATAATTTAGTTGCCTGTAAGCAGAGGTATTGATATAGAAGTAGGATTACCTTACTGGCACCCGGAAGCAAGTGCAGCTTCACATAAGGATCGGCCAGACCATTGGAGTCCATTGGCTTGAGACCCTTCACCAAACACAAAGCAATTGCATGGATTACAGCCGTATTCACTGTGACATGATCCATCAGGGCAAAAATAGCTCGCATTGAAACTGCCCGTTCAAAGGAAAGAAAGACAATACCTTTGCTTTGATTATATTGCAGTGCAGTTCATTTTTCTCCTCCGTGTACAGCAGACTGAACTCCAGCATGCCCAGAGTGGCTGGAAAATGGACAACGTGATGTCAAAAAAAAAAAGCTGACATCAAACAATAGCTATATTCTCATCCAAAGAATTCTGGACTATCGCATTAATCATTTGCACCGTTTCCATCCAACGAGTCAAAGAACAAAACTGTCACTTTCTGATAAACTGAAATCAATTATCCAAAAGAAAAATGGAGTTTGCTGGAGTAGGAGAAGCCACTGTGAGCCTTTATTCTTATATAATACGGCGAAGTGCAATAAACATATGGTGGATTTTGGGCTAAGGACTATTCTGGGAGGTAATAATACTGAACCACTTTAATGACAGACTTTGGCTGAGGGATTTTCCAATGACCAAAACAACATTTCAGATATTTTACAATGTGCTCAGTCAACTGGTTTCTCCATTAATGCCATACCATCATGTCCATTTTTGCTACCTAATAGCCACAATATTTATGCAATCTGTGATGAAAGACTTGCATGCTAAACCATTTTGTTCTTTGTGCTTCCCATTGGGGACAAACACCATGATTCATCAGGGAAGGGGCTGGATAAAAAGAAAACCCTCTCCAATATTCCAAATTGCACTGCAATACCTAGTTCTGGGCGATAATAATACTAAACCACTTTGATGACAGACTTTAGCTGAAGGATTTTAGAATGACCAAAACCAAAATTTCAGATGTTTTACAATGTGGCTGGTCCACTGTTTTGTCCATTAAGGCCACCCTATCATGTCCTTTTAATTATCACATGGCTTTTTTTATGTGCATGCTGGAATTGAATCGATAAATGTGTTTCTATCATCATTTTTTTTTTATCAGATAAAAAGTTTAGATCCCACTTTATATTAAATGGCCTTAGCTAATATGTACTTACACAGGATTTAATAGTTTGTTACAATGTACTTATTGTGTAAATACATGTATTTACTGTGTACTTATGCTTGATTAAATACATGTATGTAATTACATCTGTAATTAACTTTTGTAACTACATTTATAAATACACTGTTGACCATCCCATACACCTTAATCCACCCTTAAACCTACCCATACCACCAAACCTGTCCATAACCCAACCTCTATTCCAACTCAAGAGCACCACAAGTGTTCTCAAATACATTATAAACACAGTAAGTACATTGTATTTATTTTTTTGATGTAAGTACACTGTAAAAAGTCATTTTGTGGCCTTGTAGATTTCATTAATATTAATATGTAAACTTTATTTAATAAAATTAATTTCTTGATTTTAGGGCATTTTTTTGCTTTGAAATCAATTAAAAATGTCTGTAATAAAATATAATCAACTTTATTATAAGAATTTAGCTGTTATTTTCGAATAATTTCAGAAAGAGAAAATATTTATTAAATCCAACGTGATTTTATCATACGAATTTAGCTGTTATTTTCGAATAATTTCAGAGAGAGAAAATATTAATTAAATCCAACGTGATTTTATCATACAAATTTAGCTGTTATTTTCAAATAATTTCAGAAAGAGAAAATATTAATTAAATCCAACGTGATTAAAATTAGCATTTTCAAATTAGCCAGGGGCACACAATTGTGACCAGCTGCCCTCGCCGGGTACACAACTGATGAGCGCCCGTCAGGACCTGGAGGTGGACATCCAGCCTGATCTCACGAGAAAACTTAAGTATTTTACGTTTTGCCAGTTTAGTGGCTAATTTGTACGAATTCGTACGAGTTCAGTCGTACGAAATGGTACGATTTTAAAAAGGAGGCGTGTCACCTGACCCCACCCCTAACCCCAACCGTCATTGGGGGATAAGCAAATCGTACTAAATTGTACGAATTAGATCGTACGAATTCAAACGAATTAGCCACTAAATGAAAAAGTTACGAATTGCCGTGAGATTGTGTTGGGACATCTCAGCAATTTTCAAAAGACATTTAAAAATACGCACAATCTTTGGAAATAAACCGCGGATTTGAGTTTTAAACAACTACATTCTCGCATGAACAACCGTTAAAACTGTATTTCATGGTACATTTAGGGCAATATTTGATTATTGTTTTGGTTCTGTTCAGTGTGAGATTGAATCGGATTGAACCGTCTTTGAATTAAACTGTTTGCTGCGAGATCGGGAATCTTTTTATCGCACATGTTCAAAAGCTTATAATCATCAACATGTAATTGGTGTATAGTGTAAGTGCGTGTGACTGAGTTATAGCGAAATGCTAATCAATCGTGTTGGTAATTATACAAAAAGGCAATCGGTTTTGGTTGGGATCCGACTCTTACAATTCACTTAAGTGAGCCGATTCCTTGATCCTAACCGAGTCACTAGACTCGTAAACAACGCCGACTCGCTTCACCAGACAACGCAGAGAGCCCGCATTGTGAACTTGTCTCATCCAAACGGATTTATCGGTAAGTGTTAAAATGTCCAACTCTGTTAATTAAATTAATGTTATATAATTCTGTATAACATGTAATTCACCAAGTAACTTTAGCTTCTTTTGTCACGCTGTTTAGTTGGCCAAAACTAAACGAAGTTACCAAATCACTTTATTGTCACATCATCAGCAGCACGTGCGCTAGGATGAGTGAAAAGCTTAGATGTTTGTAACGTTAATGCTAATTTTGAGGT